GAGTTGTCTCAATCCCTGCCATTGAACAAAATCACGAGATATAAATTATATTATTTACAATAAATTTCAAATCAAATCATTTTATGACATTTCTTCCTATAAAAGGGTAATTATTATACTCTCAAAAGTCACTTATAAAACAACAAACTCTTTGTCAACCAAGACTTTCAGATATACCTCTCCGCTTGCCAAAGTTTCTGAGAAATCCATATTCTCTAACCACATGAATATCATAGCTTTCGTACTGACTACAGTGTATGGAAAAAAAATCTCTGATAAGTCCAATCTATTAGAGCAAAATTCAAGATGTGACGATTAAATTTATTTAGTTTATTAACTTACGAATAGTTATAAATATTGTTAGAGTTACTATAAATAACACTCAACATAATCGAGAAGGATTTCTGACCTCCATAATTTATATATGTATATTCTCATATTCTCCTTACGATACATTCTCTCTTATAGATAATCAATAGCGAAAAACTGTTTTTTTTTATTAATTGTAATTCTTCACCTAAATTAAAAGAGTTAAATTGACAATAACAAACAAAATAAATTTATTTTTATCGATGTTATTCTTATTAACAAATGTCAACAATAAAATTTTAATGTATTTATTTAAATATAATTTTAAAGAGTATATATAGATATTAAATTCAAGAGAACCCGCCGAGAATATTGAATTTTGTCGACAAAATTACAAATGAAGTCGTATAATCCAAACAAAACATTATATAAATGATGTTTATTGTGGAGGTTTACTGACAAATTATGCTGATAGGCTCCTCCTCATATCACTGACTCTCCCACAACTCCCACGGATAACCATCCAATTGCCATAAATATATACTTCTTTTTTTAAAATGTCATAAATATATAATATCTTAATATTAATATATCACAATTACAAGATAACATTTATTTATAATTTTTTAAATTGAGACTAAAAAATAATCATTAAAATTTTTAAAATCAGCTTTGAATAAAATTTGTTTCGATATATTTATTAATTTTTTTGATTATTTTGTTTTTATTTATATAATATATTTATTTTTATTAACTTTTTTAGGGATAAGACATCAAATTTTTTTATTAAAATTTAAAGATCAAATTATATTTTCATTATATTAGGTAATGATTAAATAAATTAAAATATAAACTTTTACATTTCTGATCCAGATCGATAGCTAAAGACTCGTCCCATCTAGGGTTGTTCATTCGGTTAAAACCGAACCGAACCGAACCAAATTAATTGAACTTTTTTTTTCTTTAACCGTTAACCGAACCTAATTTTTTTTTCGAACATATTAACCGAACCAAATAAATTTCGGTTAATTTTCAAATTAACCGAATTTTTTTTTTAAATTTTCTAATTTATATAAAAAAATGTTTTAAATTCAAAAAAAGTTTATAATTAATTTAAATAATATATAATTTTAAAATAAAAATTTCATATAAATTTTTAATTAATTAATATTGATTTAGGTTTAAAAGTTATTGGATCTTAAATTATCAATTGAGTTTTAAATGGTTTGGGCTTAGCCCATATGTTATATTTAATATTTTTTAATTAAAAAACAATTTACAATTAATTTAAATAATATATCATTATAAAATAAAAATTTTATATAATTTTTTAATTAATTAATATTGATTTAGGTTTAAAAGTTATTGGATCTTAAATTATTAATTGGGTTTTAAATGGTTTGGGCTTAGCCCATATGTTATATATAATATATTAATATTTTTTAATTAAAAAAACAATTTAAAATTAATTTAAATAATATATAATTATAAAATAAAATTTTATATAATTTTTTTAATTAATTAATATTGATTTAGGTTTAAAAGTTATTGGATCTTAAATGTTAAAATTCTTCATTACTTCACCTTGTTATTTGTCAACACACATTTTTCGTCCTACTAGGATTCAAACTCTCAAAAATAGGATAGAATTCTGCTAGGATTCAACTCCTAAAAATAGGATAGAATTTTGCTATGTTTTAAACTCCTAAAGATAGGATCCACAAGCACTATAAATAGCCATTGTAGCTCACTATTGTAACACACGATTTACACACAAAAACATAGAGGAAAGCACGGAAAGATACAAAGGCAAAACTATTGTAAAGGATTCGAAAAGGAAATAAAAGGTAGCATTTTCTTTTTTCTTTCTTTTGCATGTGCACGTTATTTTACTTGAAATTTGGTTTGAATAACCCAAAACGTAGGTTGCGCCGATGACCAAAACGGGTGGGGTTTCGAAGTTTCGAACCTAGATCTACCCCGAGGCTTATTTTTAAAAACTGGTTTGATTTTCGGATAAAGGAGGGGAAGAGCTTTTTAAAAATCTATATTAGTCCCTTTATTTATTATATGGATATTTTATTCATTTATTTTTATTATTCATGTTATTATTATTATATGTATATATATATATATTAAATTATTTTCATTTATTTTTTACTATATTTTACTATTATATATATATATATATTTCTTTAATTTTACTTATAAGTCTAATATTACTATCTATATATATTGTAATTATCTTTATCTAGTCATATATTTTTTTATACTTTTAATAGTTTATTTATATACCTATTATTAATATATATATTCTTAATTATTTTTATTTGATTATTTTTTTATTTACGTAATATATCTTATAACTTTATATATATATTTTTTATTATTTTCGTTTTTTATTTATTATTATTATATTATTTTTAAAAAAACCTTGTGTCTTTATCATTATTATTATTAAACATTATATTATATACTACTAACCTAGAGGGTCTATTTTTTGTCTTATTTCTTACTAAAGCCCCCATTTTCGGTGAATTGAGAGGGTATCTTTTCTATTTTTAAGTATTTGGTGTACATATATAGCTTATTTATTTTATTAATACTTTGATATATATATATATATATATTTTTTTCCTTTTTTCAAATATTACTATATACAATTATTACTTTACTATTTTTTTTTTCTTATCTTACTTATTTATTTTATTTTTCCCTTGTATCTTATTTGTTTTCTTTACCTTGTTTATCTAACACATTTCTCGATTTTTTTTAAATCAATCAAGGGTAAGTAATTAGGATCGAAACTTTACTTTTTAATTTAACTTGTCATTTTTCTTAATTAAGACAACTGGAAATTACGTAGTACCGAAAGGGCGGTTCAAGGGTGCTAATCATTCCTTGACCGTAACCGACTCCCGAGCCCGACATATTTCTGGTAAGACGCAGATCAGGTAAGAAATAGGGTATCCGATCAACCCATTTATTTTTAAATAAATGATCGGTGACGACTCCAATCCACATTTTTCAAGTCGAAGCCCAATTCTGGGGCCCAACCGAAAGACGGTTGCGACATTATTAAATTGAGTTATCATTCAGGTTGATAAAAAATAAATTTCATAATTTAAATACATAAGATTCCTGTGATCGTGACATATCAATTGCATTAATTGGAAGATTAAAGTTTTAATTAATAATAATATAAAGGTTAAAAGCAAATCCTAATTAATTACATGAATTAGTTGTGATTGATGAGTTTATAAGAATGCCTAAGGGATGTCATGATTTTTTGGTTGTATTATAGATTCCTTCACAATAAAAGCATGGCTAACACTTAATGATTTCCCCTATACTTATGCATATACTAAAATTTAAACTAAAATATGAATTCATCAAGTGATCTCAGTAATTAAAGAGATGCTATTTTCTTTTAAAGTCTCGAGTTTAAGCAATTACATCTGTGGGATGTATAAGTATGTCAATAATTAAGAGATTATGAATATATATTACATTATACCTCAAACTATTAAAAAAATTAAATTTAACACACTATGATATTGTATATTTTAATGTAGGTTTAAAAGGATTATTAACATTTTAATTACAATGTTAATAATCTTATGTCTCCTAATCTCTTGCAAAACCCTCGATGATTAGTTTCTAAAAATATTATATATTTTTCTCCACTAGCATTACAATATACATAGCTAAACCTCACAAGTCTAAAAATATTTTCGATACATGTGCATGCCATCTACATGCCAAATAACCCTAAAAAACAACCACTTTTTCTCTTAAAAAAAATTAAAAACCCTTAATAAAAGAGTACTTTAATTTGTTTTTATAGAAATAATATATTATAATGAGATGTAAAATAATTAAATAAATAATAAAAAAAAAGTAAGAAATAAATCCAACGGTGGAGCGACAACCATCCGCGGAAACACGGAGCCGCTTGCGGCTTTGGAATCTAATCTCTTTCACTTTCCTCCGTTGCACTCAATAGTTCCCGAGAAATAAAAAAAAATAAATCAAACCTTAAATTTTTTGAATCTTTATATTATTAAAGAATATTACGAAATTTAACATAATAATGTTATTTTAAAATAAGTTAGTAAATATTTAATAAAAAAATATTTTATTAAAGACAATATAATACTAATTAAAACAAACACACATTACCTTGACAAGGGTTGAAGCAAATAAAAAGGTCAAGATATTTTTTATTAAATGTGAATAATAACTAAAATTAATTCAGCTTGTTTTCTTAAAAAATTAAAATATTTTCAGCTGGTTTTTTCAATTGACTATTATTTAAGTTGAACATAATTATAGTTTAATTAATTTTTAGTACTAAATTATAATAATTCAAACATGCAGTTAAAATAAGTTTTCAAAATCAATTAACAACTCAAACATTTTTAAGCTTTAGAATAAAACCAATTATTAATGTCAAAATGATACAAATCAACGATGATTTTTATGTCAAACTGCATCATTAGTTCCTACATTATATATTTATATTAATCATAGGCTTTATTTATGTACTTTAATTTAATCCATTCCATACACGTAATGTAGAGTTTAATAGAAGAATTTAACCTAATTTTTATTCAAAATTGCAGTGGACAACTGAAGTATTGTTAACTAATAAACGCACCCACTCACTACCAAACTAACCAGAGTTTAGCCTTCTTAGTTTTCCTCTTTAAAACCCTTATTGATCACTTCCCCATTTCAAATCTCTCTCTGGCTATCTCTCTATCATTTTCCCTCGGAAGCCATTTTTATCGTCCTCCCTGTTCCTTGAAATCCAAGTAACAGTTTCGTCAACCCAGCGACCAGACCCTTGAAAAAGCTTTGGGATATATTCATGAGTTGCAACGGGTGTCGAGTCTTACGAAAAGGATGCAGCGACAGTTGTGTTCTACGTCCATGTCTACAATGGATCGAGAATCCCGAATCACAGGGCTTTGCCACCGTTTTCGTCGCCAAGTTCTTCGGCCGAGCGGGTCTCATGTCTTTCATTTCTGCCGTTCCTGAATCTCAACGCCCTGGTATTGCCGCTAAAAAAACCTTTTTCTTTACATTCTTGCCTTTTTTATTTCATTTTAATGTATTCTCAAGTTTTGGTAATGGAACTTTCAACCAGCTTTGTTCCAGTCGCTGTTGTTCGAAGCTTGCGGGAGAACGGTGAATCCCGTGAATGGAGCCGTCGGGCTTCTATGGACCGGGAACTGGCATGTTTGTCAAGCGGCGGTCGAAACAGTTCTCCGTGGCGGAACTCTACAGCCGATACCGGAATCCATGGCTCCGACATCGGAAGCTGCCGGTTCGGAGGACATGTGGAAGTTGCAAGAAACGGTGACGAGTTTGAACTCCAACTGTCGGTTTTCCAGTTCAAGATCTAAGGTTTCATCACATAAGCGTAAAACCATGGATGAGTTGAAGAAATTACAGCCGTCCGATCTGGATCTTTGCTTGACTCCAAATTTTAAAGGAGACCGAATGGATGATAATAGACGGCCGGGGACTCCGTCTATGAACTCGGAGGAATCCGTCACGACGACTACGTGCTTTGAAAGTGGGCTTGCAGATCATGGGAAGTTACTAAACTTGTTTGTTTGAGGAGAAAAAAAAAGGAGAAATGATATTCTTTTTTGGTGAATCTAACGCTGAAATGATTTGGGGGATTTAAATTATTTTTGGAGCACGTTTCCCCGGAAAATTCTTTTACCGGTGAGAGTATTTAAATTACCTGCATATGATTCCTCTCTTTTTATTTGTTTCAGTACTGTAAAAACTGTGCGTGAGAGAGAAAATAAGTATGTCGATGATCATCTTTTTTGTTATTAAACTGTGTTCTTCGTTTTTTTTTCATGTAAGTATGAAATTTAGGTTTTAGTGTCAATTAAAACCTATGTGCAGTTGTGCACCACGAACTTGGTTGATGAATAAATCAAAGTTCATTTTTATTTGTTGATGATAAATTTTTATATAATATTTAAGTTATTTATAACTTTTAAAGCTTTAAATTATAGTGAGAACAAATATTGAAAATAAAATTTTGAGTGTTTTTTACGTTTGCAATAGTTGTTATAAATGTAATATATATACTATTATTCCTAATAAATATTAACAAGTAGTAGAATCTATTGAGATTATGAATTCAAACCGTTATTTAAAAGAAATATTAATAATTAATATTGATTATTAAAATAAACAAATTTGCATAATAGTGATAGTACCAGCTCGTGAAGCAACCAAGCTACAGAACATAAATTGTACTTATCCTCCCACACAAATTTTCTCCCATGGTCATTGTGTCGTGTCCCCCACAATCCAAACCTAGCGCGTCTCATTCGTTTTCACCTCCCAAATACTTGGATAGGAGAATATATATCTATCTAAAATCTTATAGAGTTTATTAATTGAATATTAATTAATTTATTCTTTATAACTATAATGTAGTATAAAAATAAGATACTTATCAACTTTCTTTCTTTTTTCCCGTAATTATCCACAATAAATATTAAGGGAATAAATTTGAGAATTTGGAATAAATGGGGTTGGGGAACCTTTCGGCGCTTAACAGACAACTCATTGGCAGGCGGCTTTTGCCTTTTGGGATGGTGCAAAGAGGCGTATAAGAAAGTACTAGCTTCGTCGGTTGAAACTAGGGGTGTTCAAATAATCGAATTAATTCGGTTAATTGATCGAATCGAATTAATTCGGTTAATTCGGTTCGGTTATCAAATTAGTTCGGTCGGTTAACAGTTAAAAAAAATTTAGAATTCGATTAACGGTTAATTCAGTTCGAATTCGGTTAATTAAACGAATTAACCGAATTAACCGAAATTAAATTTTAAATATTAAATATATTATATATAACATATGTGTTCAACTCAAATCATTTAAAACCCAATTAATAATTTAAGATCCAATAACTTTTAAATTTAAATCAATATTAATTAATTAAAAAAATTATATAAATTTTTTATTTTATAATTATATATTATTTAAATTATTTGTAAACTGTTTTTTAATTAAAAAATATTAAATATATTATATATAACATATGGGCTAAGTCCAAACCATTTAAAACTCAATTAATAATTTAAGATCCAATAACTTTTAAACTTAAATCAATATTAATTAATTAAAAAATTTATCTAAAATTTTTATTTTATAATTATATATTATTTAAATTAATTATAAACTTTTTTTGAATTAAAAAATATTTAATTTTTATATAAATTAAAAAATTTAAAAAAAAAATCGGTTAATTCGAAATTAACCGAATTAACCGAAATTTATTCGGTTCGGTTAATATGTTCGAAAAAAAATTCGGTTCGATTAACGGTTAAAGGAAAAAAAATTGATTAATTCGGTTATAATTAATTCGATTCGATCGGCCACCGTTTTAACTGAATGAACACCCCTAGTTGAAACACGCAAAACCGTGGCCTCAAACTACTAAGAATCATCATAATTTAATATAATTTGAAAGTAAATGTGTAAAAGCATCAGTCATAGATACATGATGAATTTCATGCTTACATAACTTTCTAATCAAATGAAACTTCGTGTAAATCCTTCTATCCCATCCCACTTGATGGTATCCTTTCCTCATGTCATGGGAAGTGATGGGTTCCACCACATCACCACAAAATAGTTACATAGATAAAATAATAATTGTTCATAAAAAATAAAAAAAATAGTTAAAGGATTATAAATAATGTTAATTTATTTTACAACATGATAATTTATTTAACTCATGAGTTAAGTTGACACATTTAACAACTTAACTTATAAATACTAATTAAGTACTTAAGTATTAATGTAATAATGTTATATTAACGACAAACGTTTATCGTTAGTCAATTAACAGTTTACATTTAAATATATTATTTTAATTAATAATAAAAAAATTAAAAATTTAAATAATTTAAAGAATTAATAGAGATAAAAATGATTATTCAAACAAATTTTAATATTATATATATATATATTAAAATATACACAGATATAAAAATTATATCACTATAAGTAGTCTTATCGTAATGGTACACATCCCGATTTGCAATTAAAAAAAACTAAAATGAACCACATAATAGACTTTTAGTTCACATTAAAAAATATATCACCAATATCCTTTTAGAAAACGAATTCCCCAAGACCTAACAATACATTGCTTCAAGAATGGAGCGTGAAGCAGCGAAAAGATGGAGAGTGATAGGAACAATTTATTTTTAATCACTCATAAATAATGGTTTATTTATGGCTGCAACAAGTGGCCAAGTTGGAGCAGCTACCTGAAAGTATATGTGGAGCTGACGTTGCTATCCCTTGGATTTTAGGTAGATTTGGTAAGTTTTTAGTCGTATAAGCATAATCAGAGAAAATAGGTAAAATTAGGGGGAAATGAAAATTAGCAAAAATAGGAAAAATGATATTTATAAAAAATATGTTTAGCAAATTAAAATAATTTTTACAGTAATTTCTAAAGTATGTCAATAATTGTTAACAATTCTGTCAGATTTTTTTTAGTTGTTATTTCGGTTTCAATGTTTCGTCTTGACTAATCCAAACTGATCCGCGTCGCACACTTAGTTTTGGTGTGTGAGTGTCCCAACTGGAATTTTCTGCATACACAAGGACTTCAACTCGAGATATTGCTTAAGTGATATCAAGTTGCTTACCACTTGAACTCAAGACATTGTTGATGATTTTAATTTAATATAAAAACTATTATATTTATTAAAATAATGTTTATAAATATTATTTCTTTAATTTTATTTTCTTTAATTTTATTGACAAAATAATATGATAAATTAAATTAAAAGAGATGAATATTTAAATAAGTAAAGTACAAAAAATGATGTATGATTATGAAACAAAATACATAATTTAATCATAACACGAATGCCCCGATTAAGTCTCACTCCATACATAATGGTTTGTTAAAAAAATACTTTATAATGAAAAATTATTCAATATTTTTCTCCTGTCTATGTCTAATCATAATTCAGTACTTTATTATCTAATCTAACTGTTCAATGTTCATGCATAGACATAAGAATATTATAAGTTTATGTTTGTCACTTTATGATAATTGTCACCCATTCTAATAAAGATATACTAATAAAAGTTCACGTGACATGAATATTACGTTGAAGAAAATAAATAATATAAAGATAATACACATATAACATCGTCTTAGTATTTATATATATGATATAAAGAATTAAAACTTACATTATCATGTAAAAATTTATCATTTATTGAATTTAATTTGATTAATAATATTATTGATATAATATATAAGAGACATATGAACAAGAGATCTAAATGTTTAATATCTTTCTATTTATAGTTGAAGTCTTGACGAGGAATATAAATAGTATATACATTATACAAAAAGTTATAAGTTCAAAATCTATATAACTTGTCGAATATAAATATAAAAAGTGAAAATTCAAATCTAAAACTCATTTTCATCGGCTTAAACATCAATATTCACTAAAAGTACTAAAGGAATTCTTACAATAAATCAAATATCATTATGTAATACTTCAAACACATCAAATAAATACTAATTTATTTGACATTATTATTATTATTGAGATATCTAAAAAATTATAAATTCAAACGAATTTAAATACAAATGCACAAATTAATATATTTGAAAATTTTCAATAATAAACGTGCACATCAAATTTCTATTTAGCCCACATGTCTTTTAGTCCTTGTATCTCTAAGTTAAGGAATCTTATTCAGAATTCTTCAGTTCTATATTTAAACCCCAATTCCTTAACTTGTATGAATCTCCTTTTATGCTTCCCTTAGATTCTTCTTATACTCTTCTTTAACGGCATGCATTTTTATAATTTGTAAGATTATAAAAATATAATATATATATATATATTAAAAAACAATTAAGATATTGATTTTTTTTGTTGTTGAGAAAAACAATTAAAATATGGGCATCATATAACATGAAAATTAAAAGTAAATTTATATCATAATATCACCTAGATGGAGAAATGAAAAAGTACTTTATATAATGGTGTATGATCTCATAAAATACATTTAGCAAGAAGACAAAAGAGGGGGAAAACAAAAGAAAATATCAAAAGAAGAGAACGTGAAAAAAATTGATAAAATAAAGGTTTAATGTAAAAACAAGTACTCAAATCATTTTTAAAGTTAATTTTGGGTGTCTAAAGATTTTTTCGTTAAGAATAGGTACATAACGTTTCTAACGTTACACTTTTAGGTGTCTGGACCGGTAATACCTTTAAATTCAACTATTAAGTGACACGTGTCAGACATATAAAGTTTTTTTAAAAAAATTAAACATATATTTTTAAAAAAACTATAAGTCTGACAATTTTCACTTAACGGCCGAATTTAATGATAAACACCTAAAAATGTAACGTTGAAAACGTTAAATACCTATTCTTAATGAAAAAATCTTTAGACATCCAAAGTTAACTTTAGATATATAATTTGAGCATTTGTTTTTATATTAACCCTAAAATAAATGATTTATTCGTGATAAGTTAAATGTCATTATAGTCATATGAGTGAATGCAAGTCCAGAAATCAAGATTAATTGATAAGAAACTTAATGTTTTTATATAAAAATCTTATTTAAATTTTTTGGATATAAAAAAATAGACGAAAAAAGAATGTTACTTTTTTATTTTAAAATTCAGCTTAATTTTGGTTTTATGTAAATATCAAATATCAAAGTTAAAAAAGAATGCCACACCTCATTACATGACAAAAACCCAACTCCCACGTTACATATAGACAATCGGTTGGCCGGCTATCCTCACATACCACAAAAAAATCCAACCCTAAGTAGCCCACCTTTTCCTCTCATTCTTTTTCTCCGTTATATTTGCCTCTCACAGTGTTCATCTCTTTCTTTGATTATAATAGAGGATGTTTTGAATCAGTGGTTTGC